CACCGTGACTGGAGAGGTGTGTTTTAGTGTTGTCATTGCTACAAGAGGCTCATTCACTAAACAGTGATTTTGTATGTTAAGCATAAACTTGAAGCATTTATAATTATTCTGTAACCGTGGGTCAAAGTTCCTGCAGCTGCTCAACATAATGTGTAACATCATGTAAGGACTTTTATTTTTTAGCAACACTTGTAACCTAGGCATGTGACTAACTAACACTTGCACCATTAAATTGGACAACTGACTAGTAACTAGCATTTGTACCATTAGGCAAGTAGACAAAAGATAAATTCCTAAGACATATGAATGTATTATAAATGAGTTTCAAAAAACAGTTTGTGTGTTCTGTGAATTTCCCGGTTAGTTTGCATGTTTTACCATGAGTGAGTGTAAAAGCACATATATGTCAAGGTACCATCTTGATGCTCACAGTCAGCAGCTATATTGGTTCTCCTAAATGTTTAACACAGTAGTTATTGTGAAACCCTTTGAATTGTTCAAACTAATTCATCCAAAACCACAAACCACAACAGGAACCTTGGGTCCTGGCATTCATGTGAACATTACTTTTGCATATACTACCTACCGAAAGATTGTTGCAGACCATGTATACCCCTTCATGGCAATGGTGTTATCTGATGGCAGTGGCATCTCTCAGCAGGATAATGCACACTGCCACACTGTAAAAATAGTTCAGGAAGGTTTTCAGAAACATGACAAAGAGTTCTAATTGTTGTCTTGGCCTCCAAATTGCAATCCGATTGAGCATCTGTGGGATGTGTTGGAACAACATAGTCAATCCATGGTGGTCTCACCTTGCAACTGGCAGGACTTAAAGGATCTTCTGCTAATGTGTTGGTGTCAGATAACAGAGGATATATTCAGAAATCTTTTGGAGGCCATGCTTTGATGCATCAGAACTGTTTTGGCAGCACGAGGGGGACCTACACCATTAGAGGCAGCTGAACTGAACCACACTGTAACAGCAGCCAAAAATGACAGGATCCAATGATATTAATTAGTAACACTTTAATGCATTAATAAATAAAATATTAATAAATTTAAAAGCAAATACATATTGTAAAAGAACTAATGCGTTTTGTCTTTGGCACATTTTCAAAGTGCAAATGTTATACCGTTATTGCTGTTTAACTTTAGGCACCATCTTAATTTAGATCATCTGTTGACTTGACAATATAGATGTCCTACCTGCAAAAGTTCTTCTTGTAACCATTACGTTTCACAATGTTATTCTCAAACTATTTGGTCTATAGACTGCAATTGTATCCACTTGAAAATGTACCTCTTTGTTATTTTAACTTTGCAAGCAGTATAATTCTGTATCTGTTTCCTGTCTGTTGCCTTCATGGTTGAAGACCTCAATAATTGGATTGCTTGGGGTAAAGTATCTGATCGATAGCCTTCTGATTTTCTTGTGTGATGGCTTATCTATAACCCACAAGTCAATCAGTGGTTTCCTTTAAAAATGCTGATTTGATATTTAATCTATAAATATTGTTCTGCTGTGTATCTATTGCTACAGTATCGATTAGAAAATACATGCTTTGTTAATTTCTAGCATTTTACTTGGTGAGCATTTTTAAAAAAAACAAATTGCTGTGCTATGCTCTATATTTTAATCATATTGTTTCATGTGTTAATTGCCAACAATCAGTTCCACAAATTGCACTAGGTGTAAACATAGGAACTATGGTGGATGGGTGGAATAGATAATTCCTCCTGAAACTCAGTAGAAACTTTTAAGATCAAGAATTAATGTTCCACTTTTTAAGAAAAATAAGAAAAACTAAACATTTGTTAAAATAGTTGGTCACTGCATTCTACTAATAGATTAGACTTATACACAATAAAAATTTTTGGTTTGGCCAGATTTTCAGTTCGGGTTGTCTAAAATTCATTCATTTTACATTTTAGTTTGTCCATGCAATAATTTCAGGAAAAACTATTCAGACGGAAAAAAGGTTTCTAAAATGTGCCAATCTGGGTACTGCAAAATATGTACTGATTAGCCACAACATTAAAACCATCTATTTAATATTGTGTAGGTGCCCCTCATGCTGTCAATACAGCTCTAATTCATCAAGGCATGGACTCCACAACACCTCTGAAAATGCCCTTTGGTATCTGGCACCAAGACATTAGCAGTATATGCTTTGTCCTGGAAATTGCAAAAGGAGGTCTCCAAGGATCAGATTTGTTGTTCCAGCACATCCCACAGATGTTTAATTGGATTCCTGAATAATTTTTGCAATGTGGCTGGGTACATTTTACTGCTGAAAGGACCTAGTGCCATGAGGGAACATTATTGCCAAAAACGGGTGTACGTGGTCTGCAACAATCTCTAGGTAAGTGGGACGTGTCAAAGTAACATCCTCGTAAATGCCAGGACCAAAGGTTTACCAGCAGCATATTTCCCAGAGCATAACACTGTCTCTGCCAATCTGTCTTCTTCCTATAGTGCATCCTGCTGCCATCTCTTCCCCAGGTAAACAATGCACCAGATCTAAACGAAACTGTGATTCATCAGACCAGGCAACCATGTTCCATTGCTCCATGATCCAGTTCTGACACTCAGGTCCCCGTTGAAGGCCCTTTTTGTGGTGGACAGAGGTGATCATGGGCACTTTGACCATTCTGCAGCCCCATATGCTGCAACCTGGGATGCACTGTGTGTTCTGACACCTTTCAATTATGGCCAGCATTACACTTTTTGGCAATCTGAGCGTTAGTCGTTTTTCTGTGTGATCAGACACAAATTGCTTCACAGGTTGTTCTATCTTGCACCACTTTTGGTAGGTACTAACCACTGCATGCTGGGCACACCCAATAAGACTTGCCGTTTTGGAAATGCTGTAATCCACTAAGCCATCACTACTTGGCCCTTGTCGAAGTCACTCAGATCTTTTTGCTTGCCCATTTTTAATGCTGTTCACTTTCTCTCTAATATATTCTACCCCAGGTGCCATTTTAACAATATAAGCAATGTTTTTCACTTCACCTGTCAGTTGTTTTAATGTTGTGGCTGATCAGTGTATACATATTTATGTACATACACTGAACACAATTATAAAGACAACACTTTTGGTTTTGCCCCCATTTTTCACACGCTGAACTCAAAGATCTAAGACTTTTTCTATGTACACAAAAGGCCTATTTCTCTCAAATATTGTTCACAAACCTGTCTAAATCTGTGTTAGTGAGCACTTCTCCTTTTCTGAGATAATCCATCCACCTCACAGGTGTGGTATATCAAGATGTTGATTAGACAGCATGATTATTGCAAAGGTGTGCCTTAAGCGACTCCCAGTGCCAGGAAAATATATCGGTTTTCCTGGCACTGCAGGTTCCTGCAGTGCCTCTCTCCCTCCCTCCATCCCACCCCCATCCTATGTTGCTGAAGGGCTTAAAACCACTTCAGTGACTTACCTGAATCCAGTGCCGCTGTCCCTCGGTGCTGTGTCAGGCTCCACCCATGCTCAGCCGGCGTGGGAGATCTAATGGGCATGCGTAGCAATGGTCGCGCGCGCGCGCATTAGACCACCCTATAGGAAAGCATTATTCAATGCTTTCCTATGGGGATTCCAGCAATGCTGGAGGTTCTCATGCATAGTGTGAGGACATCCAGCATCGTTTAAAACACTTTTCGGACTTAACCCTGCAAAGTAATTATTGTAGTTTAAAAAAAATGCAATAATTACACTTGCAGGGTTAAGTGTAATGGGAGTTGGTACCCATAACACTCCAATGGACAGAAGTGGTCTGGGTGCCTGGAGGGTCCCTTTAGGCTGGCCACAATAAAAGGCCACTCTAAAATGTGCAGTTTTATCACACAGCACAACGCCACAGATATTGCAAGTTCTGAGGGAGTGTGCAATTGGCATGCTGACTGCAGGAATGTTCACCTGAGCTGTTGCCCGTGAATTGAATTGAATTTCTCTACCATAAGCGGTCTCCAAAGGCGTTTCAGAGAATTTGGCAGTACATGCAACCGGCCTCGCAACTGCAGACCATGTGTAAACACACCAGCCCAGGACCTTCACATCCAGCATCTTCACCTCCAAGATCATCTGAGACCAGCCACACAGACAACTGCTACAACAATCGGTTTGCATAACCAAAGAATTTCTGCACAAACTGGCAAAAACCGTCTCAGAGAAGCTCATCTGCATGCTCATCATCCTCATCAGGGTATGGACCTGACTGCAGTTCGTCATCGTAACTGACTTGAGTGGGCTAATACTCACATTCAATGGCGTCTGGCACTTAGAAGAGGTGTTCACTTCATGGATGTATTGATTATGGGCAATGATAAATGTTCGATTATTTTGTTCCCATTCATGTGCAATAACTTATGATACCTATAGGTGGTATAGTGAGCTATATGACAATAAGAGTAAGAAGATGGCTGCTGCATATTTAATTTGACGTGCTTTAAGGAGGAAGTGACCTATAAGTGGCCTAGTGAGCACTGTGACATTGAGTGAATAAAGATGGCTGCCGCATAGTCAATGTGCTTTAGGAAGGAAGTGAGAATCTTTGAGTTACTTCCTTTCACAAATGACCACATGTAGTATCCGCCTCCTAAAGATGACCACTAGGTATTGGTTATGTTACCTCTGTGGGTGGATACTAGATGGGAAGCTATTTAAGGTGTTACAGAGAAACTGTGATGAGATCCTGAGGCCCATTGTTGTGCCATTCATCCACAACCATCACCTTATGTTGCAGCATGATAATGCATGGCCCCATGTTGCAAGGATCTGTACACAATCCTGGAAGCTGAAAACATCCCAGTTCTTGCTTGGCCTGCATACTTACCAGACATGTCACCCATTGAGCATGTTTGGGATGCTCTGGATCAGTGTATATGACAGCGTGTTCCAGGTCCTGCCAATATCCAGCAACTTCACACAGCCATTGAAGAGGAGTGGACCAACATTCCACCGGCCACAATCAACAACCTGATCAACTCTATGTGAAGGAGATGTGTTGCACTGCGTGAGGCAAACAGTGGTCACACCAGATACTTACTGGTTTACGCTGGCACCCCTGCTATATGTTGTTTCCATTGAGCCTCTTGCAGCATACAGTAGGCCGTCAAGTAATATTTCAGGTATTCTTCATGGATAGCAAGAAACAAAAATAACCATGAATGCAGATGATCGTCTTAACTCTTGCCTATCCAGAGATCTCTGTTCCAGGAGTATTGGCATGCATTAATGAATCCAGCCGTTTCTCAAATTATAAAATTAATATGCAGAAAACATAAATTATCCATTGCAACCTTAACCTTATTCAAGAGAGAGCTTTGAGCAATCAATTTAAGTTCAACTTAAATCAATCCAATATCTAGGAATTAAAATAAATTTTAAAAAAATTATAAAAAAATGTATTTAAAAAATTATTAAAAACTTAAATAACTTAAAAAAAAAAATATTCTCAGAGTGCATTTGCTGTAAATATTTTCTGCACTCTGCCTTTCAGAGTTCCGAGGAAATTGTTGTATGTGTTTCATAGTTAATTTTTTTCATTTGTTTGGGGAAGTCGAAAACCCAGAATTGCATGCAAAGTATTGACAGGAGGATTACCTGATAGGGGTTTATATTTTCCCAATATTTATCTTTTACATGATATCATGATGTTTTTCCATTTTTCAGAATGGGGAAATAAAAACTCATCAACAAAATCTTGGTACATCTATGAGAAAACTATTTGTGGAAATATTGACCCTTTCTTCTTATTCTGGGTGGATAAAAACCCTTTAAAAAATCTGTTTATTGAATACTTAATAATACATATAGATCTGATAATGAAGTTATTTTTCTCTCACAATCATATCTCCACACATGCTCCATTAGAGGTTTTAAAATGTTCTATTCAAGATTTAAATTTGACTGGATGGATAAATGTAGATATTCTGAGGTTAATACGTTTTCACAGATACAGACAAAATATGGACTATCTAGTAGGGAAATACTCTCATTTTTAATGATAGTAAACGTTTTGCCTCAAATCCAAATAATAAAGCAATCTCCTTTAGATTTTGTCTGGGAGTTTCTCAAAGAAATCACTAACGAAGAGGAATATACTTAACAGAGTAAACCAGGATGTGAAGATACTAACCATTATAAAGTTGGAAGAGGACTTGAGCAGACCTTTTCCTTTGGAGTCTTGGATCAAATCCATAGAGCTGACCAGGAAATCTATACACTATCCACTGATGGATGCTCCTAGTGCTTACCGAGGGCTCCAAGCACTTCTCCAGACAGTACACAATCCCTCCCCTCTGCCTGTTATATGATTAATGTAGACAATGGACTAACTCAATTAACTCTAAGCAGAAAAAACATAAATTTTTACAAAGTCTTAAAAACACCCCAAAACACCACATATCCCCAATGTCACATCCACGGATAGCCCTGATCTGGGTAAACAACATATCCAAAAATCACCCAGATCAGAGCAGGGGTTCAGGAAATTCTTGGAAGTCTCTTTTGATCCACCGTGCACAGGGTCCCATGCCCAAAACAGTTCCATATACTCGACGACAAAACACCGCTGGCCGTTCAACAATTTAAATGGCCACCACCACGTGTTCGAATCTGTTCTAGTTAAAAGTCCAAGGTGTAGAAACAGTACTTTTGAACATGGGTTATCACAGGTCCCATAGTCCCAGGGTAGGAGGCTGGCAGCCAGGCCCCTCCAGAAAGCAGTAGCAAGGTCATATTTGCCACACTACATAAATATAAAAGAGACATACAAGGACCTCCCTCACGGACCCTCCCCCCAGCATGTAAAAGGTAAAAAAACCTTTTAATGCTTACTCAATTCCAGCACTGATCTCCCTTGGTGCTGAGTCAGCGCTCCGCCTCTTCCGATGTCATCCAACTGGGAAACATTTCCAAAAGTAAGGCATTGCTTCATTGCTTTCATATGGAGATTTAACTGACACTGTATGTCCTCATGTAGAGCGTGAAAATGTCCAGTGTCAGGTGACCAAAAGTTAGTTAGCCACCAGAAAGTGCCTCTAGTGACTGTCTGACTGACAGTTCCTAGAGGCTGTATTGGTCCTGCAATGTAACTATTGCAGTTTTTATAAATGGTTTACATTTCAGGACTAAGGGGAAAGGGACAGTGCACCCAGACCACTTTAATGAATTGAAGTGGTCTGGGTGACTATAGTGTGCCTTTAAATTAGGTATTTCTCAACTTTTTGAAGAGTTTAAATAAAATATTTCCACCTTAACTCACAATTTTTTTTAAATTTCATCTTGAATTTCCTAGGCTATCCAAGCCGTTACTTTTTCCTATAACCCATATTTTTATGGTCACAAAACTTTGTATTTCTAGATACTAGTGAGAAAGAGAAACTCCTAGCCTAACGCAAATTAATGCTCAAATAAACTATCAAGGATTAATGGAAAAAGTTATATATTTAATAATGGTAACACAGAAAAGTATAATAGGATTTGAATTAAATGTTTTGTTCATAAAACAGGACCTTTAGACTAGGACCCTAGAGATCTGGCCATTGATGAATATACTTCTCTGACTTCTTAAAGTCTCATCATAAGTTTAACTTGGTCGCTTATTATTATGGTTTTCAATCCGTGAAGCTAATCGCTTTTTCCAATCTTCCCTGGATGTCTCCACATCGTTATCATGGTATGTTGTTTTACATTTATTTATATGTTGGTATTTATTGTTATTTGATGTTTATGTTTAAACCTATTCATGTTATTTTCTTACTAATTTTTATTTTTTATTTTTTTTAATGTTAGTGAATATATACATTAATAGAAGCCTTTGTCTTTATACATTGTATTAATAATTTTCACTATAAATTATTCCTGAAATTGTATGTCTATTATTAGACAATCTATGTCTCTCTTCATATGTTTTAAATTGAATTTACAAAAACATACTTTTTTTTTTTATTGAAACTTATTGTTGTCCAACAAAGGATTTATTCACCGAATTCAAAACCAAATTGCTAAATGTTTGTAAAATAACCCATTTATTGAGTATAGTTCAGTTAGAGAACCAGCACATTTAGCCTAAATTTAGCAATTCAGTTTTCAATTCACCACAATTTGATGTTTTATGGATTATCCTCCATGAGTTTGCCTTGACTAAATTACTATACAGTGGCTACACATCATTATCATTAGTCTGACATCATTATCCACAGTTTAAGTCTGTATATTATTGTTATTATTATAATAGGGTATTATAGAAAAGTACAGTTGCAAGAAAAAGTATGTGAACCCTTTGGAATGATTTGGATTTCTGCACAAATTGGTCATAAAATGTGATCTGATCATCATCTAAGTCACAACAATAGACAATCACAGTCTGCTTAAACTAATAACACACAAAGAATGAAATGTCGCCATGTTTTTATTGAACACACCATGTAAACATTCACAGTGCAGGTGGAAAAAGTATGTGAACCCTTGGATTTAATAACTGGCTGAACCTCCTTTGGCAGCAATAACTTCAACCAAACGTTTCCTGTAGTTGCAGATCAGACGTGCACAACGGTCAGGAGTAATTCTTGATCATTCCTCTTTACAGAACTGTTTCAGTTCAGCAATATTCTTGGGATGTCTGGTGTGAATCGCTTTCTTGAGGTCATGCCACAGCATCTCAATTGGGTTGAGGTCAGGACTCTGACTGGGCCACTTCAGAAGGCATATTTTCTTCTGTTTAAGCCATTCTGTTGTTGATTTACTTCTATGCTTTGGGTCATTGTCCTGTTGCAACATCCAGCTTCTGTTGAGCTTCAGCTGGTAGACAGATGGCCTTAAGTTCTCCTGCAAAATGTCTTGATAAACGTGGGAATTCATTTTTCCTTCGATGATAGCAATCCGTCCAGGCCCTGACGCAGCAAAGCAGCCCCAAACCATGATGCCCCCACCACCATACTTCACAGTTGGGATGAGATTTTGATGTTGGTGTGCTGTGCCTTTTTTTCGCCACACATAGTGTTGTGTGTTTCTTCCAAACAACTCAACTTTAGTTTCATCTGTCCACAGAATATTTTGCCAGTACTGCTGTGGAACATCCAGGTGCTCTTGTGCAAACTGTAAACGTGCAGCAATGTTTTGTTTGGACAGCAGTGGCTTCCTCTGTGGTATCCTCCCATGAAATCCATTCTTGCTTAGTGTTTTACGTATTGTAGATTCGCTAACAGGGATGTTAGCATTTGCCAGTGACTTTTGTAAGTCCTTAGCTGACACTCTAGGATTCTTCTTCACCTCATTGAGCAGTCTGCGCTGTGCTCTTGAAGTCATCTTTACAGGATGGCCACTCCTAGGGAGAGTAGCAGCAGTGCTGAACTTTCTCCATTTATAGACAATTTGTCTTACCGTGGACTGATGGACAGCAAGGCTTTTGGAGATACTTTTATAACCCTTTCCAGCTTTATGCAAGTCAACAATTCTTAATCATAGGTCTTCTGAGAGCTCTTTTGTGCGAGGCATCATTCACATCAGGCAATGCTTCTTGTGAAAAGCAAACCCAGAACTGATGTGTGTTTTTTATAGGGCAGGGCAGCTGTAACCAACACCTCCAATCTCATCTTATTGATTGGACTCCAGTTGGCTGACATCTCACTCCAATTAGCTCTTGGAGATGTCATTAGTCTAGGGGTTCACATACTTTTTCCACCTGCAATGTGAATGTTTACATGGTGTGTTCAATAAAAACATGGCAACATTTCATTCTTTGTGTGTTATTAGTTTAAAGGACCACTCTAGACACCCAGACCACTTCAGCTTAATGAAGTGGTCTGGGTGCCAGTTCCAGCTAGTGTTAACCCATTTTTTTTATAAACATAGCAGTTTCAGAGAAACTGCTATTTTATAAATGGGTTAATCCTTCCCCCAAAGCCTTTAGCGGCTGTCTCATTGACAGCCGCTAGAGGCGCTTGCGTGATTCTCACTGTGAAAATCACAGTGAGAGCACGCAAGCGTCCATAGGAAAGCATTGATAATGCTTTCCTATGCAACCGGCTGAATGTGCTCGCAGCTCTTGCCGCGCGTGCGCATTCAGCCGACGGGGAGGAGAGGAGGAGGATCAGAGGAGGAGAGCTCCCCGCCCAGCGCTGGCAAAAGGTAAGTTTTACCCCTTTTCCCCTTTCCAGAGCCGGGCGGGAGGGGGACCCTGAGGGTGGGGGCACCCTCAGGGCACTATAGTGCCTGGAAAACGAGTATGTTTTCCTGGCACTATAGTGGTCCTTTAAGCAGACTGTGATTGTCTATTGTTGTGACTTAGATGATGATCAGATCACATTTTATGACCAATTTCTGCAGAAATCCATATCATTACAAAGGGTTCACATACTTTTACTTGCAACTGTATGTTGCTAGAATAGTACTCACTGAGGGTTCAGTGTTTTGTTTTTTTAATGACAGTTGCAGGAGAGTAATCATGGTGCGGGGAGGTTAAGTTGTTGACAGTTTAATTGATATGCTTTCCTGAAGAAGTGATTTTTTAAAATGATTTTTTGAAGGACTGGAGACTGAGTGAGTGTCTAATGGAGAAGGGAAGGGAGTTCCACGGGAAAGGTGCAGACCTAGAGAGGTCTTGAAGGTGAGCATTAAAGGTGGGAGAACGCTCACAAATAATTTCACTAGTAAACCTATCAACGTAAACTTAGATTTCTGTCAAAAGTGGATTTTTAAAAAAGTAACTTTGTGACAATGGCAGGTACCTATAATTCTCTGTGTAATTAATAATGTAACTAATTTGGCATATGAAGTACGCATCATCATCTTAGAAAAAAATAACACATTTATTTTTATTGACTTGCAGAATATGAGTCATTCGTTTTACACAAATGAATAGTTTCAGATTATATGAGTAGAGAAAAAAAATCCAATTAATTTGTAATTGTCTTATTGTAAAAGATGCAACTTGAGTTATTATAAAATAAAAGCATAATTTTCTTTTTAATGTAATTATTCAGGAATTCTGAGCAATCGTGAATTCAAGAGGTATGTACATGAAATATATGTTTCTCTGCAGCTTTGACTATTTCAGTCTTCCTTCATACCGATGTCATTACATTTTTCCTTGAATGTCCTTAAGACAATGTCTAACGATGTTTCAAAAATAAAATTTATAGTCATTCAAAGGTCGATCATGCTATTTTTCCCCTTATATGCTGACATTAATGAGCATGCCTTGATGAAGTGTGCCTATAGGAAAATTATCAGGTGTGTTGGTAATCATAAAAAAAAGAAATGATTGACACCTTCAAGTGATTCAATTTCTACTC